CCTCCTCGTAACAATGTCCTCCCTCCGTCCTCTGATCCTCTTCAAACAGCTGATGAAGTGATGAGCATTTTTTTAAACTGATGTCACAGTGAAGGCGTTGTCTGTTTAGACTTAAGTCAGTTCCACCTCTAAAGAAAATAAAAAATTTTAAATTTATATGACTGCATTTCGAAATTGTGATTCAAAATGACCTCTCACTGTTTGCCAGGGTTTTGGGCGTGGAACCAAGCAACCGTTTCCAACTCTCTGCACCTTCATCTCCACATTGAGCCAGAGGAGGGACCTGGTTGGGCGGGGCTTTGCTGGCGGCGGCGGCGGTGGTGTAATGACGAGCAGCCTCGGACTCAGACATGGTGAGTTTGCTGGTGGTTCAGTTGATATTGGCCGTAAGTCGCTCAAACCTGTCTTCAGGGTTTGGCTAGATTTGATACAAATGTTTGTAGAGCTCAGGATTAGCACGTCACTAAGCTCCTCCTAGAAGCTAATGTATAAAACACAGTATGATGAGCAGTTAGCCGTAAGCTGTAACATTAGCAAGTACGTATCACTTTACATATTATTTTATTAGTTATTTAAAAACTGATGGAAATATATTGAGTTTAAACCTTGTGTAGGAATAACTACACAACAATGTTTCATGTTCCATTGAATCTGCCTCCTTACGGTTAATCAATAAGGATTACTTTCCCAGTTCAACCTCAATTTGAGTTAAAGGGACATCTCAGAATTTTTATCACAAGTCAAGCAACTTGGCATCATTCATTTTTCTGTAAAAAAACAACCACAGGATGTCATCAGAAACTGGTTCTGATCGTGTTCTGACTTGGATTCTGACCCTAGTTCTCGTGGTAGACTCACAGCACAAAACGTTTCTTTGAGTGTTAAAGAGGAAACACAAACCATCTGTAATATTTTACAGGTGGGAGAGAAACGTTGCTTATTATCCAGCTGTATGTGTGTCTGTGTGCGCACACATACGCGCCTCATATGGTTTTCATTTGGGGCGGAGGTTTGCATAATTGTTCTGGCATCGGTACCAATGGCTGGTGAACACGGCGTTCTCACAGCAGTCAGAAATAACCTTGCCATTAACGACGGGAAACTGTTTCCCTTTCACTTTAAAACCCTGAATAATACAAAAACAACACAGCCATTGTGGTGACAGGTTTGACCATTTGATTCTCTTTTCTATATGTTTCTGTTTCTACAAATGAACTGCCGATCTGATCTGACAGAATGTTTCGGAGCCAAACCCTAGACTAGAACCAGTGCTCCAGTTGAGCGTCTGCCAATGTCCCTTTAATAAAAGAGTCACAGAGTGGAAAAGCTGAGCAGCGTCTGTCTTCTCGGTGGACCAGACAAACTGTTAGCCGCGTTAGCAGCTCAACATAAACAGTCTGAACACAAGCAGCAGGCGTTCAGTAAACACAGGAAGTAACACATCATTACGGCTTAGACCAGACAGAGAACACCGTGTCTGGGTTGGGGAACACACACAAATTGAGGGTTCACTGTAAAAAAAAAAAAAAAAGTAGGTAAAATAGTCTTGTCTTGTTATATAACATGATGCGGTTATTGAAATATGAAAACTCTACGTTACAGCTAGAAGAAGGCGACCTCATATCAAACTTCTATTTGGCTATTGCAAAGTTCTAAAATATAAAAACCCAATGAATGCTGGATGAGATAGAATAGTAGAAAGTGTAATCTAGACCCCTGTGAATATTTGGTACATCGGGTAGAATATGGAGATCTACGTGATATATTACTCATCTACAGGCTCCAGTGTTGTCCTCTCAGTTCTCTTCAGAGAACATCAAAGATGTTCCAGTAGAATGAAGAAGGGGGCGGATGAAGAGGAGCAGCGTCCTCAGATCTCTCCATGGTGACACTCCTGATTAAAAGGTCGTCATGAGGACGAGTGCTCCTTATTGTCAGGCTTGAACTGAGTGACGCACAGCCATACAAGGCAGAGGTTATGAATTAGCAGGTGGGCGAGGAAAGTGGGGCAGAGGAAATATAAAGGGAGAGGAGTGGGTTTCTAAGTAGCTGTGAACCGAAGCTAACTCGCTTTATGCAATCTCGATATTCGCTTAATTATTTTATATAAAGTTTCCTATCATCATCAATGAGGCCCACTCACCTCCAAACGATTCTCTGTTGTTCTGCAGGAAGAGAACTGCCTCCGATCTGCAACGATGTCCGGCACAAGCAGCGGTTTTCCATCGACACACTGCCCCCAGAGGTCAAAGCCCCATTCCCCTCAGACCCAATCATCCCTCTGAGAACCAAGACCACCAAAGAGTTTCAGTGAGTCTCACTGGTCTGAACAAGTGATCAACAAAAATCAACTAAATGATTTGGGCTCAAAGAGTTTGAATTCACATCAAAGTTTGGATTTACCCTAAAGGCACAAAGTGTCCACACGAGGCAGCGGTGTTTATCAATAGTCTTAAATGTTTTTTCCTGTTATTAATCTGACTTCAGGGTTAGGTCTATGGAAATTCAGTGTTTGTATTGTGTGAGCGCCCCCCAGTGATGCTTTAAGTTCTGACTTGATGTTTGTGATTCCAGGGATGATATGGAGCGTGCTGTCCTGTTATGTGACTGGAGGGAGGTCAGAGAGTTTTACCTGACCACCTTCGACTCCTTTATAGAAATTAACGCAGCCTTTAAGGTAGAATACGTACATTCATATCTAACCAGTTCAGAGGTTAGGAAACAGAACCTTATCACACTGGGGTTTTTTTTTGGTTTTGCAGCGAGAGGCGAATGGATCGTTCAACACCATAGAGGACTCAGGAGTCAATGCTAAGTTTGTCAACGCTGTTTACGACGCACTTCTCAACACAGTAAGAAAACCGTCACGCTAATTACCATTAATGATCATTTATTGTTACAATATATTGCGCATACTGCCCCCTGGTGGTGGTTTACACCACTTCAGTAAACTTAAACTAAAGCATGCTAACGGTGTGCCTGTGTGTAGCCTCAGGACATTCAGAAGTCAGTGCTGAAAGGAATCATCAACAGTCTCCTGAGGGAGTGGAAAGGGTGAGAGTCAGCTGCACAACTTTTAAATATCTTTCTCATATTCAATCATTTTAATTGGTTTTTATCGGTTCTGTTTTCAGGCCTCGGACTAAAGATGACCGACATGAACTGAAAAAAAACTTTCTCATATTCAGTAATTTGATGTTTTTATCGGTTCCGTTTTCAGGCCTCGGACTAAAGATGACCTGCGGGCTTATTTCATTCTGGTTCAGGTAAGACATGAAATCTTATGAGAAAATGGTGCCCCCCTGTGGTTTTAGACTTAACTAAATTCTTAAGACCAGAGTTACTTAAGTATTATGTGCACTGTTTGATCTCACTGTGAAACTCTTTCTCCATTCTCCAGTTATATGGGATAATTGGTGATAAAAATACTTTAGTGTTTGCAATCCTTTTAGATTTACTGCAGTGACACAAACTGACCACACGAGGCAGCGGTAAAGCTGCAGCTGCTGTTAGCTAAAATCACTGATTGTCGCTGTTGTCTGTTGTCAGTTGTGGGATGTGAGTGATTTACCAACACGGTCGTTGAAGTGACGTTACGTAGTGACGTGGTTTCTTTCTGTTTTTGTTTGCTGTAGAACCCTCAGTATTCCAGCACCAGCACATATGTGATCTACGCTCACCTGCTGAGGCAAATTGCAGCTCTGTCTGAGGCCGATCATCACTTCCTGGTTCACTGGCTGAAAAAGTAAGAAGAATTGGCTAAATTAGTTAGTTTAATATTTTCACTTGGTTGGGGAACTGCTTTTTCTTGTGTGTTTGCATCAAGTTTAAATGTCGTTTTGTTATTTTGTGGTCTAAATGTTAAACTGGGACTAAAACCAGGTTTTCCCATGTGTCAGGCTTTCAGCACGCAGGTTCAGGCAGTTGGTAGAGCGCCTCCTGCAGTTCATCTCTACGCGCCTGTTTCCTGCGCTGAACCAGACGATCTTCCTCCTCTGTCCAAGTGTTCATGGTGGATCCCGTCTGCAACCAAAGTCCTCAGTCTCTTCAGTAAAGCCATGCTATTTATTTATTTTTAGCTTGTAAATTATACCTATTTTTCCATACTTTAACAACTTTAGAGTTTTTCGTGACTAATGTAAGTTGTCATTTAGCCTATTTGGGACTCCCGTCTGTGCCAAGTGTGTGCTACTTTTAAACTTACTCTTGGTTTTGAGTTAAAACCTTTTGGGTTATGTCTCTGTCTCCCTCGTCAGATGCAGCCAACAGTGTGTCCTCTCCTCCCATCATGCCTTTCACAGACTTCTACAACATAACTCTTGAGCACATTGACTTCATGGAGGAGTACAGGACCTGGCAGAACTACGGCAACTCGAACCGGTCAGGGAGACTTCTTCACTCCTCACTGTTTTATCTCACTGTTAGATCAACGTCTCCAAATAATGTTGTTTCTCACAGCGTTTCAGTTTTGAGCCAATTATTTTAGAACTAAAACATTCGAGGCATTTACGTCAGTGACACATATTGTCCACATGAGGCAGCAGTCAGTGAACCGTGTCTGTGTCCACATGAACTAAAATGCCAGTGTTTTTCTATAAAAACGTTGCCATGGGTGAGTGAGTGGTTGACAAACTTCTCTTTCTCACAGTAACAGTTCGACCAGAACCACAGAACCTCCCTCAGTCAGATGCCATGGAGACTGTGTTATACTGCGTCACACATTGTTAATATCCAATAAAACTCTTCCCAGAGTTCCCAGAATCCCCCTGTTCCAGGATGAGCCGGGTGATTGGACAGTCCTGAGTTCAGAAGCCGCTCATGTGAATAATGGTTTTGGGACTTAGGTGTGGAGGATTTGAAACGAGAGGAGAGAATGTTTTTGTTCATTTTTTTTTGTTCTTCTTTCCAGATTTTCCTTCTGTCAGTTTCCTTTCATCCTGTCCACGGTGGTGAAGAAAGCTATTATTCAGAAAGACTCAGAGCAACAGATGATCAGCCAAGCCAGAGTAAGACGCACACACGTGGACAAATAAACGTTTCTATAAATGTTCTTAGGAATTTAAAGGAGTTTAGGAGAGATTGCAGCCGATGTGTGCAAAAAGTCAAGAGTGCAGTGGAAAAAACCCAAACTTACTGTCGAAAATAATTAGTCATACAAAGATAGATATGAAAGTGTAAAAAATATCCATTAGACAATTATAGCATTGATGAAATTGTGTGTGTGTCACAGCAAAGCCTGGTCAGTAAAGTTTCCCGGCGGCAGAGAGTGGACATGAACCTTCTGTTCCTAAACATTAAAGTCCGACGGGCACAGCTGCTCAGCGACTCGCTGGACGAGGTACAAACGTGAACTCTCTCACATACAAACGTGAACTCTCTCTCACATACAAACGTGAACGCTCATGCTTCGTCACTCTTCCTCAATTCCTCCTCTTCCTCCTGCAGTTGACGAGGAAGCGGTGCGACCTGAAGAAGAAGCTGCGGGTGACGTTTGTCGGGGAGGCCGGGCTTGACATGGGAGGTTTGACCAAAGAGTGGTTCCTGCTGCTGGTGCGACAGATCTTCCACACTGACTATGGTGAGATGCTAAATGTTAGCTGTACAGATTAGCCAATTGAAAGTCAAAGGTTAGTTTACTACAGTGTCCAAAATGAGGCTACCGTAATTTAAAGATAAACCCAGTAAATTTAAATAAATATTTTAAAAGTCAAAATCCAGCTTCATAAATCTTCACATTAATCCTTTTCACCAGCCTGAGTCAGTCCTCGTAGTCATTGGCCAGGGGTGGAGTTTATATCCTTGACACCTATGGTAATTTAAGAGTTAAGCATTAACCTAATCCTGCACATCTGTAGACTGTGACATAACACCAGAGTACGTGGACAAAACCCACACAGAAAAAAATACTGGGACAAAATCCAAACTCTATTCACAGAATTCCCCAGTGTGGCCTTAACTGCTGCAGTGGTCGACGGAGAAGATCTAACTTGGTCAAATGGAACTATGAACTGCTGATACGAAAAAGAAATGGTTAAAGATTTCCCTTAAAAAAAATCTGAGATTTTGAGAGTTTGGATAAAAATACATCCATGGAAACTCTCTCTCTTTTTCTCTGTGTGTGTCAGTGTCTCTCGCCCCCGTGGTTGTCTTGTTCTTTCCATTTTTCCACAGTGGTTTGAGTTTTTCGGTTCCAGGAGACGTGAGCTGTGTTCACCTCATTAACAGCAGCAGCAGTAGAACAGGGAAACCCCCTGAACAAACGCACACACACACACACACACACACACACACACTGTTTATGTTGCAGCTGTGAATCGATTCCCTCTCACCTCCTGCTCTGAGCTGCTGCTGTTTGCCTTGAAAAAAGTTTTTTTTTTTTGTATTGAAAAACATTTCAACATCAATCGTGTTAACAATACTTGACTAGTAAGTAATAACAACTAGCTGTCACAGTCATACTAGTTACTATACATTTAAAAAACATCCAGACACAAACTTATTAAAATTCCGTTCTTATAGTTTATTTCTCCGGCCTCTACGACTTGTTGTATTCTCCGTTCTTCTTGTTCCATTTTCAACCCCCCCGCCCTCATCTTCCTCTCCTTCCTTTTATGCATTCTTCCTTTCCTCTTTCCCATGTTCCCTCACTGTTCTCCTTGTTTCCTTTCCTCAGGTATGTTCACCTACATGAAGGACTCTCGCTGCCACTG